CCCCCCACACACACACATGACTTTCACAAGTTTCTCTGCGGATTCGGGCTCCTCTCAGTGAGCGCACTCCAACCCCATCTTCAAGAAAAAAAAATAAAATTCCTGGGATGCTTTTTGGCTCGTCCGGTTTTGCCGGACGAACCGCCCCCCGTCCGTCTGGGCCGGATGTCGGCCTAACCCAGGTTTCGACCACATTCAGGTTTTCCTAAGAAGAGCTACCAAGACCCACAGGCCTAGCTCAGTTGGTGCACACATGAACTGTTGAAATAAAGACCTGAGTTCGAATCCAGATGGCACTAGATTGATGCAATACAGTAATTCTTTCAAAAGGAAAAAGAATAAGGACCTATCAGGATATCAGATCAAGCTGCTGTCAAAGCATAAGCTGGAGATGTATCTGTTCGCGGAGGAGGTTGTATTCATACACTTCGCAGCACAAGTTAAAAACAAAACAAAACAAAAAAAAACAGTGCAGGCGCAAAAACAGCACAGGTGCAAAACCACCACAGGATGTATTCACAGAATTCACTGCAACCCCCCCCCCCCCCCCCCCCGCCCCCCGGGGGAAAAAAAAGAAGGAAAAAAAAAAGCACCGGTGCAAAAAAAGTTCAAAAAAAAAACAGAAAATCTGTGCCTTTTTGCCTGGCGCCCGCCTGATTTTTTGTCCATAGCCTTTTTGTCCCGTAGGTCAGACCCACCAACCATGCGGGGCCCATTCATGGCCCAATCAGAACAAAATAGCTGTGAAGGGGACTGGTGGTTGAGCATCGGAAGCTGTGCATTCACAGAACTGGAAGTGATTGCACCTCACCTTGAAGTTAAAACTGGAGATCTGAGAGCATACACGCTGTTGAAATTGGATCGGTTTATATATTGTCACATAAGTACGAAGTAAAAGAGCGCAGTTTGCGAAAGAAAGGATAAAAAAACAAACAAAAAAGGCACAATGAAAGTTATGAAACCATTCAATTTCTCAGTCTTCTTTTTAACTCCCCCTACACTGTGCCTCTCATGTACAAGGCTGGCCGCGACGATGACGTTGAGCGCGAGCTGCCCCCATCCCCGTGTGCCATCCATAACGGCCCGCTTGTACGGTGTGAGAAAGAGGCAGAGTGAAGCGGGAGGGGATAAACACAGGGAAGAGAGATGGAGAGAAGACAAATAAAGAATGATGAAGGGAAAGTAAGGGAAAGTACGGAATGCGGAGTGAAGATGAAGGCAAAAGAGGATAAGAAGAAAAGGCTCAAGAATGAGTCTGTCCTTGACGAGAGAGAGGACATACATTGCAAGGATGATGTACTCCCCGGTCCTACGAGAAGTCTTTGGCACACGGGACCGTCTTGGTAATGAAGAGCTTTTTCTCTTTTTTTCCCCCTCGCGCAGGGAACGAGCTTTGGGAAGTGCCATGGCACAAGTTCGAACACAAGTACATAGAGGTCGCAGCTTGAGAGATCCTCACAACATGTCTTTTTCGCATATGGACGTGTTTGGGGTCAGATACATTACATACACCAGCAAAGCGCTAGCCAAAGACGTGAGGGTGTGACACCACCCTTTTGTCGTTTTCTGCCCACTTTTGCAGTTCCTGCGGGCGACTTCTCGTTTCTTTTGTCCTTTCATCGTTTTCTGCTTGCTTTCACAGTTTGTTTGTTTGTTTTTTCCTTCTTCCGTCGTCGTTTGGTGGCGCGACTGTGAGGTTTCTGCCGCATGGATCGAGGTAAAGTGGACTTCCCTGAATGGATCTGAGTGCAGTTACAGCCGAACCTGGATGAATCTGACTGTAATCACGTCCAAAATGCTATGGAAAAGGGCTCTACTGTGAGTGTGCCACTGTGCCCTAAGTTCTTTGTAGCCAGTTCTTTGTAGCCAGTTCTTTGTAGCCAGGAATTGAGAACTGGTCTGGTTATCAATAGTTGGTGGGGTGTACATCGCGTTTTGTTTTTTGTTTTTTGTTTAGCGCCGACTCAAAGAAAGGCAACATAGTGCCATCCAGTTCACATACTGTGAACTGCCCAATGGGGTGCCACGCAACCCACATAGCCCCCATAGCACACTCCAATCCACATAGTATGACCTGCCTCACGTGCTACCGCCCGGCCCACGTCGCATCAGCCACACCACATAATACCGCCCTCTCCACATGGTGTGACCTGCCAGCTGTAGTACCGCCTGGCCCACTGTAGTACTGCCTGGCCCACATAGTATCACCCGGGCACCACGTGATACTGCCCAGCCCCCATACTGCCACCGGCTCCACATGGTATGACCTGTCGTGCGTTGTGCCGCTGATGACATCTTTCTTTTTACAGAGAGAAGGGGGGAGGGGGGGAATGGTGATGGAATCTCAAGGCAGTCGTCTTCTTCTTTTAATAAAAAACAGAAAAATCCCTGCTCAACTCCTCATTCGCAGCAAAACCGCTGGCTCTCGAGTCTGCATATCTCCTGGAAAAAGCATGCCACCCTGTGCGGCGAGTCTACGTGTGTGCATAAATATAAACTATTATGCCTCTCGTGTAACAGCCTATGACCCAAGCACCCCGCAAAACACTGTCTAATCAATTTCAACAGACTGGCAGACTGGTTGTGGTTTGTTGCCCAAATACTGACCCGTTCACGTGAATTATATTTCCCTCCTCCACCTGCACACAAAATACAACCAATTTGAAAACATGTCATATTCCTTCCTTCCTTCCTTCCCTCTCTCTCTCTCTCTCTCTCTCTCTCACCCCCGAACACACACACAAGGAGTTTTAAAGGGTCGGGTTTAGTGAGCATTATACCAGAGTCAAAACAGACATATACATCATCAATATGAACAAGGTGGACATGGATTTGCGTGCATGTTTACCGAGCACGATAACAGTGTCGAAACAGACAAATACATCTGCAATATGAACAAGAGGTCCATCCAGCCGACTCACATCAATTTCAGTGGCATACGAAAGGACATCCCCTCACAATTCAGTGCAGATACTCCTCCGCTGCTGTCTAGCAAAAGGTGCATATTGTAATGACCCGCCCAAAACACAGACTGAGAACACTGCTGATTTCTGGAATTTGCCAATGGAATGAATGCCTTGCTGTGATTCCCGCATTCTGCTGTGGTCCCAAGTCTGTGTGTGTGTGTGCCTGCTGGTTTGCATGCCTGWCTGAGTGCTTGCCGGATGTGTGTGTGTGCGTGCCTGCTGGGTTGCATGCCTGTCTGAGTGCTTGCTGGTTGGGTATGTGTGTAACCCGCCAGGGTACTTGTTGGTTGCAAGGCCCACCGGGCCGGTACTTACCTGTGGCCGTGACTTTGGAGGGTTGCAGGGGGATAAACATGCCGGTAGCGGGGAGTAGGCCCACGGCACTTAGAGCAGTTGGGAAAAACACTCAAGTAGCAGGTAGGCCGAGCAGAAGAAGACAAAAAGTTGGCATTTTTAGAGGCCCAGTAGCGGTAGGTTAGAGGTAGGCCGGTACACGTCCAGGTAGCCCGGGTCTAGGGCCTGTGCGGACAATAACAGAGCCTGCAATGATGTTTCCCTCCAAAAGGGAGGAGGTACCGGTTGCTGGGAGGCCGCTTGGCCTAGGAAGTCACCGCCCAGGAGGCCGGTAGGCCGCTATATCTTCAGGAAGAGCGGTGAGCTCTTCCTCGTTTGCGGTATGCAAGGATTGGCGACATGCTGCTGGAGCGCAGCGCTGGTCTGAGGCAGCGCTGCTTGGAGGTAAAGGTCTGCTGGGGCTTAGCCTGGCTATGGCGAGCACCCCAGCTTGAAGGAGGAAGAAGGAGGACATGGTAGGAGAGTGGTAGGGCACTTACCTGGCTATGGTGGACACCGTCTTCATCACCTTGTTGGGCGCTGCATCTGGAAGGCCCCRGTTGGGGTAACGCTGCACCAGGGCAGCTAGAGGCAGGGTCAGGCATAGCGGACCGAGTCAAGCAGCGACATAGCTGCTTTGGGTTGTCTTTCGGGCATCAGGGCAGCATCATAGCTGCCTTCCAGTAGTCCGCCATGACCTATGCTTGAGAGAGGAGGTTGAAGGAAGGAAGACATAGCCATGGTGGACTTGTTGTTGTTGTTGTTGGGTTGTGAGTTGAGTCAGCAGTAAGGGGGAACTTCGGACATTGATTCTGGTTCATCCATTCATTGTTATTATTATTGTTGAGAGAAGAATAAGATTGGTGAAGAGAAGGAGGAAGGAGGAAGGTGGAGAGAGAAGGGGGAATTGTCATTGGTCTTGCTGGTGTACATCTTCTTCTTCTTCTTCTTCTTCTTCTTCTTCTTCTTTACCTCTCCTCTGGTTCTTTATCTCTTGCAAGTGCTTTCATTTCTTTCGCAATTGGGTGGCATTGTCTTTCATTGTGAATTTGCACTTGGGAAATGACCAGGATCGTAACAATATGCTTCTTTGGAATTTCTTTGTAACTTCTTGGAATTAGATTGAACTCCTTGGAACTTCATTGTAGGAGTGATAAAAAAAGAAATTTCATTCCTCGTCGTTAGAAGGAGAACAACAACACAGCATGCTAAGTAGGCTTGCTATTATGTAGGGGCTTGCTATTATCATTACCAACCCCAGTTGGGTTTGGGAAGGAGACCATGACAGAAAGAAGAAGGTCAGATAAGGTAGTACTAGCTCGGCCTACCCAAAACACAACAGCTATAATGTTTATACAGGTTAGCTATATATTGTCATTGAGAGCTGCCAGGTGAGACATTATGGTTCAGAACTTTAGGTCTATAGAGATGAGAGATCTACGTTTATTCGAGGTAATAGAGTGTAGGTTCAGTCACCTGTAAGCAATTGTACATGTCATATAACTCCAGTCAACTGCATGTACATGAGTGAGTCTACTATAGATAGAATATAGCCCCTGTATAGAACCATGTACATAACCGAGGACGTGTAGTTACATAGTACATGCTACATACTAAACATACTAAACAGTACGTAGTACATACGTGTAGTTACGTAGTACATACTACATACTATACATACTAAACAGTACGTAGTACATACCACATACCACTATGCACTACATAGTACATAGTGGATAGTACACGCCACATAGTACATAATATACATAGTACATAGTACATAATACATAGTGCATAGTACATAATACATAGTGCATAGTACACACCACATAATACATAGTATGTACTACGTACTATGTATATACGTAGTACATAGTACATAATACATCGTGCATAGTACACACCACATAGTGCATAGTATGTACTACGTACTATGTAGTATGTATAGTATGTACTACCACGTAGTGCATAGTATGTACTACGTACTATGTAGTATGTATAGTATGTACTATGTACTATGTAGTGTGTACTAGCATAGTACATAATATACATAGTACATAGTACATAATACATAGTGCATAGTACACACCACATAATACATAGTATGTACTACGTACTATGTATATACGTAGTACATAGTACATAATACATAGTGCATAGTACACACCACATAGTGCATAGTATGTACTACGTACTATGTAGTATGTATAGTATGTACTATGTACTATGTAGTGTGTACGAGTATGTAGTATACAGTGAGTACTACGTACTATAGTACGTACTATGTAGTGTGTACTAGTTTATGAAATATGTAGTATGTGGTACGTACGATGTAGTATGTATAGTATGTACTATGTCATATGTAGTATGCATAGTATATATAGTATGTACTATGTAGTGTGTACTACGTACAATGTAGTTTGTACTATGCACTATGTACTACATACAATGTAGTTTGTACTATGCACTATGTACTACGTACAATGTAGTTTGTANTACTACGCACTATGTACTACATACAATGTAGTTTGTACTATGCACTATGTACTACGTACAATGTAGTTTGTACTATGCACTATGTACTACGTACACACTACATGCATAGTACATACTACATACTACAGACTACAGACTACAGACTAGAACGTACTACACAGTACGACATACTACATTGTACATACTACATACTACATACTACATGCTAGTACATTCTACATAGTACATACCACATAGTAAAAGTAATCATAACATACTGCACAGAGCATACTACATACTACATACTACTACATACTACAGAGAACATAGTACATAATGCATAACATATACTACATAGTATTTCATAGCATACTAAAGTGTATAACATATACAATCTTCCTGGAAACAGAGAACAGATAGTACACAGTGTACTGGTACACTGTGCTTGTGTATATTACGTGCCCGAGGCTACCTATAGAATATAGCTACTGTGTATATCCCTCGTGTATACCCGAGCAACTATACTACATAATGTGTGACAAATACAGTCTTGCTGGAAATGGAGAATACATAGTACACAGTTGTATATATTATGTCGCCTGAGGCTATCAAGTAGAAACAAGCTCCTCTGTCTACCCCTCGCATACACCCCAGGAAAGTATATTGGTACCCCTATTGTGTGTGTACACTAACTAGTACGGTGCTGCACACTACATCGTACATACCACTTCAGCCTTCATGCAAATGAAGCATACACATCCGACTTCATGCAGCAGTACTCTTTCACACCTTTTTCCATGTGCCCTGGCAATCTACCTAGACTTCCGGGACAGGTGCATGCACAGCAGAAGATCTCCATGCGTGCACATTTTGAACGAAGCAATACCACATCAATAACACTCAATTAAGTGCCCATCGTTGTACAACAAGCATGCACAACGTTTATAGGTCCCGTGTGTGGTACGCACTTCCCACTTTCCCAGTCACAAAACTGTTAAACGGAACTTAAACGGAACTTAAACGGAACTTAAAAACTTAAACCCCTAAACCAGTTGATCAGCTCACCTGGTAATCGTTTCAGAGTGTAGGAAAGCCCACAACTCCCCTCGAGCACGCGGTCATCCTCTGCGGAGAGATATCCCTGCGGACAGGTTGCAAAAAAAGGGCAAAGACCCCACAAATAGAAAGGAGGAATT